TTATTTTGCTGTCCTGGGCTCAGACGTCCCTACTTCAACACCTCAGTCTGTTCTGACATCGTCGAGTTCTCCCTCACAACCCCCTGTATCGACAAAACCTCGTACGACACCTACCAATCGCCAATCTACTTCTCAGAAGTCCAAAAAATCCCCATTGCTCAAATCTTCTTTGCCCCCTCCTTCCATTCTTTCACCTCCACATTTTTCCTTTTCAGTCTCTGTGCCTGGTTCTTCCCCTCTCACTAGCTCTATTACAAGTGTGGAGGTTCACCCTCCTCATACTGTGCCTTCCTCCCCTGTCCCCTCCCAAGTTTCTCCCTCTTCTGTCCCCTCCCACACTTCTTCTCCAGTTCCCTACAGTCTTTCGTCCCCCCCCTACTTTGGTACAGTCCATTACTGTCCAAATCTTTACTCACCCTCCTCTTTCTATCTCCAATATTGTCTCCCATACAAGTCTTTGAATTCAGAAACACCTCTTGTTCCTTCTCTTCAATCCCCTCCATCTCCAGAACTTTCTTAGCAATGCTCCGTTCCTTTGCTGCTAGAACGTCTTCCAATGCCACCGCACGTAGACTTTTCTAACCCCCTCTAGTCCCTAGGTGCCCTTACCTACAGATTCCTGGTATTTTCTTCGTTGCCAATCATGGCCTATTTACAGCGGAATATCCGTGACCTCAGGGGTAATCCGGGTGAGCTTCAGATGTTGCTTTTCTGGTTTTCCCCTGTTCGTGTTTGCTTACAAGAACCAAAATTGCACTCAGTTGTTTTCTAACCCATCGGATCCTTTTTCTGATGGGACCTTTAATGAAAGTGCCCTTCTACACAATGATATTCCGTACAGTCCACTATTTGTTTGTACGTCGCTGTATTACACTGCAGCTCATATCCACTTGAATAAGTGGTTTACTGTATGTTCTTTGTATCTCTCCTTCTCGGGCAATATCTATCCCAGAGTTTGTCTTTCTTCTTTCACCCTTACCACCATCACTTCTGTTACTTGGCGATTTTAATGCCCACCATTTCCTATGGGAGGTCTCATTGTGACTCGCATGGCATTCAGTTGGAGGCTTTTCTCGCCTCTCACCCCCTCCATGTTTTAAATACGAGTACTTCCACCCATTTTGATCCTCCTACTCATACTATCTCTTCCATCAATCTCTCGGTCTGCTCTTCCTCCACTGCACTAGACTTTGCCTGGTCTGTTGTACTGGACTTACATGACAGCAATCATTTTCCAATCATTCTTTCTTCTCCATCACATTCACCACCTCTCCGTAGCCCTCGCTGGCAATTTGATCGAGCAAATTGGGATCTTTACTCGCAACTCACTGCTTTAAGTGAGGTTCCTTCCTCATCCTCCATTGATGAGCTTTTACACCTCTTCTCGACGTCAGTTTTTACCGCAGCTTCTCATTCTATACCCCAAACCTCAGGCAGGTATTCCCAGAAGTGAGTGCCATGGTGGTCTCCTGCTTGTGCTCGGGCAGTACATTGAAATGCTCTGTGTGGGGCAGGTACTGGTACAATTGAACCACAGAGAGACTTCTTGATTTTAAGCAGAAGTGAGCGGTTGCTCAAAAAAAGTATGGAAACTGAGTGGTAAATACTCTCCTGACCCGGCTCCTGTTTTGCAGGTTGTCGGTGTTGATATAGGAAACCCTCTTGATGTTTCCATGGAAACTGGCAATCATCTGGTCTGTATTTCTCAGGGGCTCCATCTATGCCCCTCGTTTCTTTCCTCAAAGTCTGCCAGAGAGTTAGCACCCTTAAACTTTCTATTTTCAAAGAAGAATCTTGTAATGTGCCTTTTACACTTCTGGCACTGGAGGCAACACTCTCGGCTTGCCGATCATCGGCAGCTGGGCCTGACGGCATTCATATTCGTATGTTACAACATTTACATCAGTCAGCCCTTACAGTCCTCTTACAACTTTTCAATCTTATTTAGTCACAAGGAGTTCTTCCCAAGCAGTGGAAATCCGCCATGGTTCTCCCTTTCCGCAAACCGGGTACTACAGGACATGATGCCTCCCACTATCGCCCCATTGCTCTTCCTAGTGCAGTTTGCAAAATGATGGAACGTCTGGTAAACTGACCTTTAATGTGGTATCTAGAGACTCACAACAATCTCTCCACTAGTCAGTATGGCTTTCATGAGGTCTGTTCTACCATATACCCCTTAATACGCTTGGATACGTATGTTCGTAATGCCTTTGCAAATAACCACTCAGTTATTGCCATATTTTTTGATCTTGAAAAGGCATATGACACAACTTGGAGGTATAATATTTTGGCTCAAGCCCACTCCTTAGGCCTCCGAGGCAATCTACCATCCTTCCTTAAGAACTTCTTAACTGACAGACATTTCCATGTTTGGGTTAATAATATGCTCTCCCCAGACTTTGTCCAAGCTAAAGGTGTCCCCCAGGGATGTGTTCTGAGCACAGCACTTTTTCCTCCCTGTTATAAATGATTTGGCCTCTCTCCTTCCATCCAATACTCGATCATCACTCTGTGCTGATGACTTCGCTATTGATTGTGCAGGAGTTGACTGCCACTTCATTACAGTTTCTCTCCAGTGTGCAGTCGACCGTGTTTCCAATTGGGCCACCATGCACGAGTTTAAATTTTCCAGTACTAAAACTCACCAAATTACTTTCGCTAGACGCTCTGTCATCTCCACTCATCCTTTGTATCTTTATGACTAACGTATCCCTGAACGTGATACGGTCAGGTTTCTACGCCTTCTCTTTGACCGTAGGTTATCCTGGAAACCTCACATTACCTCTCTAAAGGCAACTTGTCACAGCCAGTTGAACCTTCTTAAAACTCTTGCTCATCTTTCATGGGGATCTGATCGTCGAACTCTCCTTTGCCTACATTCAGCCCTCTTTTTATGGAAACTCGATTATGGTGACCAGATCTATTCAGCAACCTCTCCTGCTACTCTCTCTAGCCTTAATCCCATCCTTCACCAGAGAATACGTTTATGCTTTGGTGCTTCTCGCTCTTCCCCTGTTGAGAGCCTCTATGCTGAAGTGAATATTCCATCCTTGTCCGATCGCCGTCATGCCCATTGCCATTGCTATGTTCGCTCTCATGATCGCCGTAATCCTTCCACATATAGAATAGTCACTGATGCTAGTAGACATTCTTTATTTGTTCGTCGCCCCTATTTGCTCCATCTCTTTTCTCTTTGCCTACATTTTCTCTTGTCTTCCCTTCAATTACCACCTTTCTATGTTCATGTAGCATCCCACTTTTCCCTGCCCCCCTGGGAAGTTCCAGCTGTTAGATTCCATTCTTTCTCACTCCCTTGCATGAAAGCTCAATTGCCTACGGAACCTTTTTGCTCTCTTTTTCTTGACTGCTTCCGCTCTCATTCTCATGCCATCGCAGTGTACACAGATGGCTCAAAGTCTTCTGATGGCATCGGATTCGCAGCAGTGTTTCCGGACAGTGTCGTGCGAGGACATCTACTATCCTCTGCTAGCATTTTTACAGCTGAATTGTATGCCATTCTTGCAGTGCTTTTCCGTATTGCATCTTTGCCTGTATCATCATTTGTGGTTGTCTCAGACTCCCTTAGTGCTCTACAGGCTATACGAAAAATTGATACACCTCAGCCCCTAGTCATCCATATCCAACTCTGGCTACGCTGTATCTCTACCAAGTATAAAGATATTGTTTTTTGTTGGGTCCCTGGTCATGTTGACGTACAGGGCAATGAACAGGCAGACACTGCTGCGCGGTCAGCAGTACAGGACCTACCAATTTCATATAAGAGTGTTCTATTTATGGACTCTTTTGCTGTAATAGCTACCCACCTTCACACCCGTTGGCAACAACGTTGGTCTAATCTACTTGGTAACAAACTTCATTCTATTAAACCGAGTATAGGTTACTGGCCGTCTGCTTGTCATCAGTGTCGACGTTGGGAGACTACTCTCTCCTATCTTCATCTTACTCATGGGTATCTTATGGAGAGGCACCCTGTTCCTCTCTGTGAGACGTGTCATGTTCCAGTATCATTTAGCCACATTGTTAGACTGCCCTCTCTATCAACGAGCACTCAGAATTTACCTCCAACGTCGTCTCCGCTCTACTACTCTCTCTTTACCTTCCCTTCTTGCTGATGGACCCTCCTTTAATCCTGATTCTCTCATTGACTTCTTGACAACAAATGACTTACTCCACAAACTCTGATGACGATACCTTTCACACTCCCCTCAGCCCTTTCTACCTCAATCTCTTGCTACTCTCTACCCCTGCACTAGCCACTGTCCTGCTGTTCTCCGTAACCTACTAATTGTCCTCCTCCCTTTTGCCACCTGATACCGCCATTTCCTTCAAAAGTGAACCATGTTGCTTCAGCTTTACTGGGCGTGCCTGTGATTGGTTAATGAAACAAGGTACTTATTTAATGACGGGAACCCCATGGATCGTGAAACCCTTAGTACCTGGTTCTCTGGTTAGGAGGCAGCCTATATGGGAGTGTGACATATGCCAAATAAATTGTAACGTGCTCTTTGCATATCACACGCTTAATACAATATTATGTAAGAAAGTAGGAACACTGCAGTAGGCCTGTTGAGACATACTTGGCAGGTTCTTTACAATACCAACCCACTAACAGAACATTTGCCCAACCCACTTTCAGTGCTACCCTAACAATAAGCTCTGACAAATCTATTTACTCATGTGCAAGTCCCACTCAGATCCAACCCTTCTCATTCATGTATCTGTCCAACATAAACTTGAAACTACCCAAGTTTCTAGCTTCAATAGCCTTACTAGGCAGACCGTTCCACTCATCAACTACCCTATTTCCAAGCCAATACTTTCCTATATCCTTTCTAAATCTACACTTCTCTATAAACTTGCACCAGATTAACTCGATAAATTATTACTGCTTCTATTATTATTGCCATTATCATTTATAATATAATAATAAAATAATCTTTTTCATCATGGTATTAAAAAAAACAAGTGTGTCTTACCATCCAAGGCCAATTATTCTTTAGAGCGGTCACACCACCAAGGACACGCAAGGCTCCTAGTATTGGTCCAGGACGGAGCTGGAATACCTTAGGGTCATTAAGAGCAGCCAGTGGAACCCCAGGACGCCGCTGTGGATCATCTCCAGAAGATATTTTATTTAAAACTGTTTTATTGATGGATTCGGGTCGGAGGAACCGAATCGGGCCAACGCTTTCAGTGTATAACTTAAAAGGTTGGTAGATGTTTTGACCACATTCTACAAGAAAAAAAAGTATAATGAGTTAGGCACATGTGTAATACTAGGCATCTTTACTGACAAAATGTTGAACCTGCGCTGCAGGCTTCGAGATGACTTACAATCCTTGAAACAGCAGTCGAATTGGAGAGGCAGTCTGAAGTAATCGGTCCCTTAGCCAAGAACAAACATTTGTTGCCAGAGACTTATTTACCGGAAAGATGAGGTCACAGATGAGCTGGGCCCACCAGCTCATCTTTGAGCTTATCTCCAAACTTCTATACCTCTTTTTATAATACATCAGTGTCTGCTCTCATAATTTTGCTTAAGTCTCAGAGACTGATTATCTTCCTCTAAAACTGAAGAACTCAATACCTCTGCAGTTCTCATGGACTGTAATTCATCCCTGGATTCGACTGAAGAAACCAGCGACGCAGATGAAGAATATCGTCAATAAAGACACTCAGTCTTGCACAAGTGTCTTTTTCATTAACTTAACAGTATTGAAAACCATTTCTAATATGATGCGGACTTGTGAATATTGACGATTATTATATCTTTAAGAGTTAATGTTGCAACATGAATATGATATCGTAGTTTTAAGACACGTGTAACACTATGTACCTTTATTGACGAAACGTTTCGCCTGCGCTGTAGGCTTCGTCAGTTGACTACACACACATCAGTATTGATGGAAAACTAAGTAGTCTAAGTAGAGATGTAATTTGATGTAAATCAGTTCATGACAATATTGCAATTATACAAGATAAATTAACTGTGTGATGATCACTCACGAAAATTGACGATAGGAGCTGAGATGTCCTGTAACAGTTGCAGGTCTGCAAGATTAATTCGTGATCATTAGCCACACTTTCTCGGTATTGCAATCTGAGATATCAGTGGTGATAATCATTATGAATCAAGAAAATTGCACTCTACTGTATATTCATTCTTTTATACTAAACCCATATTAACTACGTTTATATATACAAAGCTAAATCTCACGGGTGATTCCCGGAAATATATCTAGGTGGTGTAGTGTTTTTTAAAGCTCCTGGAAACTACACACCCACTAGAAACAACGAGAGAAGACCTGAACCTCAAAAATACAGCGCCTATCACCCTGTACACATGCAGTCCAGAATTCCTCACCGTGCATGCAGGCCAAGCTATATACAGCATAGGAGATGGCCGCATCAAGTACACTGTTGCACCAGGAACCGACCCACATACCACCAACGCCATACTAGAAGACCTAGGCAATGACAAAATGCGCATGCTAAAACCTGTCATGCTCTCAAAATCAGCATATTGAAGAATTACAAACGCATCAATCACTACGTGGTATGATCGCACATAAGAAGTCACGTGATCACTAACTGCCGTCTCCTGCCTGCCTCTCGCCTCTCTCCAGTCTCCACCAATCACAAGCCAATCAACACCTCGCGCTGATGAGATGCACATAGCCGTGCTCCCGTGTCACCGATCAAGCTTGCCCGTGTATCCTGACTCTCAAGCTCGTTCCTGCAAATTCCTTCACGTTCAGCTCGGCTGCTGGGTCAAGCCCTGGCTCTTTCTCTAAGACTAAGGACACTCCTCTCAAGATCTACACTTCGTCTGCCCCTCAGGGAAGGTTCCTTGATGTTGGTGAGGGGATCTTGATTTAGGGAATTGGATCTGTGCTCCAGTTCCCCGAATTAAGCCTGAATGCCTTCCACATCCCTCCCAGGCGCTGTATAATCCTACGGGTTTAGCGCTTCCCCTTGATTATAATAATAATAATACACTTCGTCTGTCCAGTCTTCCCCGCTCACCCCTTCATGGGGTCTTACCTAGAATCATTCATTCATTCCAGCTCCTGGATAAGATAAGATAAGATAAGATTTCGTTCAGATTTTTAACCCCGGAGGGTTAGCCACCCAGGATAACCCAAGAAAGTCAGTGCGTCATCGAGGACTGTCTAACTTATTTCCATTGGGGTCCTTAATCTTGTCCCCCAGGATGCGACCCACACCAGTCGACTAACACCCAGGTACCTATTTGCTGCTAGGTGAACAGGACAATAGGTGTAAGGAAACGTGTCGAAATGTTTCCACCCGCCGGGAATCGAACCCGGGCCCTCCGTGTGTGAAGCGGGAGCTTTAGCCACCAGGCCACCGGGCGAAAGGTTGCCACAAAATGTCGCAATAGTTGCACTTGTGTCCCTTTACCAGTGTTTCATTACTACATTTCGTCCAGGACGTGATTTTATCACGTGTAAAAAAAGTAAACACATACAAAGCCTAATATGGCAAACGAGCACCCCGAGGTTAGGCTTGTAAGAGATCAGGAGGAGGTCGGGGAGACAGAGGCGGCGCGGGGGTCTGACCCATACAAAAATTTTGTTAAACAGAAAATGTAAAACTATTATAATCAAAACCTAACGCTAACCTACAGGAGTCATATATGTTGTCTTTATGGAAGACAGATGATACCGGAGGCAAGCTTTCCTGTGGGGAGGACAAAACGGCGATCAGTGTTGGTGCTTTTCCTGGCAGTGTTGTGATGAACAAGACTGTTTCTGCAGGAATGTATGACAGGGAGTGGAAAGTTGCTCAAGGGCAGTGTATATGAGTGTTGCTATCTACCTGATAAAGTTCAGTGTATATGAGTGTTGCTATCTACTTGATAAAGTTCAGTGTATACGAGTGTTGCTATCTACTTGATAAAGTTCAGTGTATACGAGTGTTGCTATCTACTTGATAAAGTTCAGTGTATACGAGTGTTGCTATCTACTTAATAAAGTTCAGTGTATATGAGTGTTGCTATCTACCTGATAAAGTTCAGTGTATATGAGTGTTGTTATCTACCTGATAAAGTTCAGTGTATATGAGTGTTGCTATCTACCTGATAAAGTTCAGTGTATATGAGTGTTGCTATCTACCTGATAAAGTTCAGTGTATATGAGTGTTGTTATGTACCTGATAAAGTTCAGTGTATATGAGTGTTGTTATGTACCTGATAAAGTTCAGTGTATATGAGTGTTGCTATCTACTTGATAAAGTTCAGTGTATATGAGTGTTGTTATCTACTTGATAAAGTATTTTAAGACTATATATATGTCATTGTTTATTCACATATATCTGTCTATTAAATGTTTCAAATGCCATAAGTAATGAGTCAATAATACTTCACTCTGGGACCTTTATTATTACTCAACAGCACTGCCATTATTGGGAAATTTGTCGAAATCCAACCCTTATACCAGGAAGGGTTTCGGGGGTCAAAGCCCCCGCGGCCCGGTCAGAGACCAGGCCTCGTGGTGGATCAGGGTCTGATCAACCAGGCTGTTACTGCTGGCCGCACGCAAGCTGACGTACGAACCAAAGCCCAGCTGGTCAGGTACTAACTGTAGGTGCTTGTCCAGCTCCTTCTTGAAGACAGCCAGGGGTCTATTGGTAATCCCCCTTATATATGCTGGGATGCTGTTGAACAGTCTTGGACCCCTGTCACTTATTGTGTTGTGTCTCGGTGTATTCATGGCTCCCCTGCATCTTGGATTTTCGAAGTGTATATTATTTCTCTCTCTCGCCTGCGTTCCAGGGAATGCAAATCAAATGACTTCAACCGTTCCCAGTAATTTAGGTGCTTTATCGTGCTTATGTGTGCCGTGAAAGTTCTTTGTACACTCTCCAGGTCAGCAATTTCGCCAGCCTTGAAGGGGGCAGTTAGTGTACAGCAGTATTCCAGCCTGGAGAGCACAAGCGATTTGAGGAGAATCATCATGGGCTTGGCGTCCATAGTTTTGAAGGTTCTCATTATCCATCCTATCATTTTTCTAGCATGCAGTAGTTACATAGTGGTCTTTGAAGGCGAGATCCTCTGACATTATCACTCCCAGGTCCTTCACATTACTTTTTCGCTCTATGATTAGAATTTCTTGTATACCCTAATGCTGTTTTAGTTTCGTCAAGTTTTCCATATCTGAGTAGTTGAAATTTGTCATCACTGAACTTCATACTGTTTTGAGTGGCCCATTTGAAGATTTGGTTGATGTCCGCTTGGAGTCTTGCGGTGTCTTCGATGGAGGACATTGTCATGGCAATCCGGGTGTCATATGCAAAGGAAGACACGGAAGACACATCTCTATGTCAGATACGAGGATGAGGAACAGGATGGAAGCGAGTACTGTGTCTTATGGAACAGAGCTTTTCACCGTAGCTGCCTCAGACTTTACTCTGTTTACTATTACTCTTTGTGTTATATTTGTCGAAAGGTTATAGATCCATCTACCAACTTTTCCTGTTATTCCTTTATCACATATTTTGTGTGCTATTACACCAAGGTTGCACTTGTCGAAGGCTTTAAGAAAAGTCTGTGTAGACATCTGCATTTTATTTATCCTCTGTAACATCCATGACCTTGTCATAGTGGTCCAGTAGCTGGGACAGGCAGGAACGACCTGCTTTAAACCCGTCTTTCCCTGGGTAGTGTAATTGATGGGCATCTATGTGGTTGGCGATACTGTTTCTTAGAACCCTTTCAAAGATTTTTATATGGGATGTTAATGTTACCAGTCTATAGTTCTTTGCAATTGCTTTACTGCCACCTGTGTAGAATGGGGCTATGTCTGTTTTTTTAGTGAGGGTGGGATGACCTCTATGTCCATGCTTCCTCTCTATAGAATGCTGAAGGCATGTGACAGTGTCTTTTTGCAGTTCTTGATGAACAAAGAGGTCCATGAGTCTAGGCCTGGGGCAGAGTGCATGGTCATGTCATTTATGGCCTTTTCAAAGTCTTGTGGTGTTAGGATACTATCAGAAATTTCTGAGATGACCAAATTTTGGGTCTCGGTCATAAGAATTCATGACTCACGAAATCGTAATGACATGATTGCAAACAAACCATACCACTGGTGGAGTTTGAACCCGCGGCCAGAGAGTCTCAAAACTCCAGATCGTCGCGTTAGCCACTGGGCCAGCTAGCTTAATAAGATTCATCCAACCAGGTATATTTCTACACCATAGGAAGGTTAGCATAGGCACCACTGTATCCACAAATGCAAATTTTTACAGACAAATCCCCCGCTAGCACGGCCGTGAGGAACTCTAGCTCAGGTCCCCTCAAAGCCGTCAACATGCATTTGTGGACGCAGTGGTGCCTATGCTAACCTTCCTATGGTGTAGAAATATACCTAGTTGGACGAGAAACTAATGTAAAAGATCTGGAAGAGATCATGTCTCAGGATCTCACCTTCAAAGACCATAACAATGTATCAATCGCATCTGCTAGAGAAATGACAGAATGAATAATGAAAACCTTTAAAACGAGGGATGCCGAGTCCATGACACTCTTCAGGTCGCTTGTTCTATCTAAGCTGGAATATTGCCACACACTAACAGCACATTTCAAGGCAGGTGAAATTGCTAACCTAGAAAATGTACAGAGAACCTCCACGGCGCGCATAACTGCGATAATACACCTCAATTACTGGGAACGTTTGAAGTTCCTCAACCTGTACTCCCTAAAATGAAGGCGGGAGAGATACATGAGTATATGCACTTGGAAAATCCTACAGGGGTTAGTACCAAACTTGCACACGAAAATCACACTCTGTGAAAGCAAAAGACTCGGCAGACGATGCAATATCCTCCCCCCCCCCCAATGAAAGCCGGGGTGCCACCAGCACGATAAGAGACAACACAATAAGTGCCAGGGGCCCAAAACTGTTCAACTCCCTCCCCTGGCTGTCAAGAAGGTACTGGACAGTCACCTTAAGTCAGTACCTGACCAGCCGGGCTGTGGTTCTTATGTTGGGTTGCGTGCGGCCAATAGCAAGTCTGGTTGCTCAGGCCCTGAT